TTTTTTTTTAAAGTACATCGACCGCAGGACGTATGTTTGAGATGGCATCGCGCGAGAAGTGAGGCAGTCAGCTCTCACAAAAACATTTATCTGGTTGCGTTAACTGTTTATGGCTTTGGCACACTGCTTCACTTAGTGAAGATTTTATTAGTTTCATAGCCACCTTTTCATCAGTTGGTGGTGAGATTACTCCTCTCCTCACCAAGTGGACATTTACTGTGCATATATTTTGTGATGTGCAGTTCAGTTTTCGTCCGTGGGTTCACATGGATCAATGGCGAGTGCACCCGTTTCCGTACTCTCTTCCTCTTTTTTGCAAGATTCTTTGGGGGAACCATATTCACCTTCATTGGTACGGCTTATTTTGATTCATCCATGTAATTACCACTACATTGAATCACATTCCAAATTAATCTCCTCTTCCTGATCAGATTCGGCGCAATGATAGATGGTTTAGAAAATTCACTAGTAGTCAGATTGTCCAATTAAACTAACCTGAAATCTTGAGTTGCGCAGACTGTTTATGAAAAATATGCTCTTGCGAGAAAACCTACATCTACTAACCAGCGAGTCATTCGTCCAATTTCTTTAAACCCTCCTGATGAATCTCAGTGACACTGGCAGGCACCGTATAAGTGGGCTTTTCGGTGTTCACCAGAAATTCCATCTGGAAAAAGGACTTTATTTAATTTGTAACGACCTTCCCACTGAAACTCTTTCACACGTTTTTCCTTCATGTCCATCAAATATGATCGCGTTGGTTCACATGGCAAGGCCATGGCTGCTTTCCGATTTCAAGAAAATCATTCTTTAGGAGGTCTGACCTTACCACATCCATTTAGAGTTGACAGTCGTGTATACTGTGGTGCTATTGGGGCGGAGTATTGAAAATTACCTCACCCAAAAATGTGTCCTAAAACCCGGGTTGACGATTTGCACTTTCTTCGTGAACGGATTAACCTCCGTTCGTGTAATTAGTAGCTGTTTCTGTCCAACATGCGGCTTGAGGGAATTTCAAAACAACCAGTAGTGAAATATCGGTTTGACCTGGTGAGATTATAATCATAAGTTGAGATTTATTAGCACGTTGCTTTACAAGGATATGCGCAAAACTCGCGAAAACTATGTGAAGCACTGCAGTTACAGACATTGTCATCTGAACAGGAGGAATGTTGCATGTAGCCAGTGTTGTGTTGTGCATACGGTTTCACCCGTGTTATTCTCAAAATCCTGTTTGAACACGATTTGCAATGACTGACTAATGTACGAGAAGCATGTTCGGAGAGGATGGACGACGAAACGATTGAATTTGACTAGAAACGGCCTCGTTTTGTTCACTACTCCCCATTCTGGGGAGACGTACGAAGCGTACTTGTGCGCAGATGATGAGTAGTTCGGTCTTGGAAACGCATCCATTATCCGTAGCTTGGTCGTCTCGGTAATTCAGCTAGGTGTTTTCGGCCTCCCGGATTCCTGGCGCAACATTGTGTGCAAAAGTTCGTGTTTTAGAAGGCCGTGTCATGCCAACAAACGACAGGACATTGGCTGCTATTTGGAATTCTAACTTTGAATCTTTGTTACATGCTGAGTGCTTGTTAAGAGAAAAAATGAAGGGAATTCTCTTGGTGGTGGCCGATTGCAAGGATATAAACTACTGGGTCCATAAAAAGAGCAAAATAGTATGCAAGCCTGCTGAAATGATAAGATTCCTTCTCAGACTTTTTTGAATTTTGGGCAGACTTTGACAGCAACAGGTCAAATGGATGTGTTCATTCTCTGACAATTAGAAAATAAGACGGGAAAAAACATTCATGCAGTTCGGTTAGTAGCGGTATGGTTGCTTCTGGTTATGTGTCACGTGCTTTGGAGTTTTTGACGAGTGGACACGATAATCAGGTATATTTTTACCAGAAGTCTTCTAGATTATACGCCGCCATCCCATACACCATACCAAGGGGTGCTTCAATGGACAAAATATCAGAAGGGAGAACGGTGCTCTATTTGACAAATGGCGGTATGGCGAACGTAGTAAATGCCCCGAGCACCCTAACCTTATAAGTTCTCTTCACTGCCCTAGAGATTCTGCTTCACCTTCCTAATCACTTATGGAATAACTCAGTACGAGAAAGCTGCAGAAAGCCAATGCCTGCATTGTTGCGAGTACTGCCAGGATTGGGGATGAAAAAACTGTGATCAGTATACACCGTAGGAGAAGTTCGCCACCATCACATCGTCTTACATGCACACTACACACCTTGCTAATTTGTAACCCATATGTGTCGGGGTGTTCTATATTTGTAGTGAAGTATTCCGCGGCTTAGTCTATTACCGCTTTTTCGTATCGGACAAAATGTGGTATTTTGCCGTCAGTTAAGACCTCGTCGGCTAATGCAAACATGAAGTACTCATTATTTTGGCGAATGAGATTGCTTGGGGAAATGAACAGACAAAAGACGGAGGACTGTCGACGGGTATCCAGTCAAGCGAGAAGACTTGTTACATATTCAAAGGGCATAGCAGCCTGCTGCTGCAGGTGAAGAAACAAATCAAGTATGAAATTGACAGCATTCGAATAGCAATGCTGCGAAAGTTCATGTTCTTGAATTAGAGCTTTAGAAATGTCGTTGGATGATGTCATAAGTTTGCGGATGGAGAGATTTTGGCCAGCTTTCTCTACAGGTCTGAAATAAAAATAGGATTATGCTTACTGGAGTTCAAGTGTTTTACGTGAATTGCAGCATGTATTTGTTACCCCCATGGGTGTCTTCTTGGCTTACATATAACTGGGATTTGTAGATCGAGGGGTACCACATAGGAGGAAGGGATCTGAGATATTCAAGAATGAAGACAGATTGTGTCATTATTCTCAAGTTACCGCTCACAGTGTTGCTGTAAGCAGCTGTTAAGACTATTTGACTACAATCACGAAGAGACAACTGACTTGGCATTGGAGAACTTTTGTTGGCGTATTTCGTGGTGCTCACACCTGAAATATGGGACAGCTTGGATACTCAGCCAGAGCCGACTCAGAGTTTGGCCACAATGTAGTCCTAGGCACGAAGAGCAAACTGGCCCGCCTGTTAAAACCTCCAAGTTGGACTGTTTGGACCCTGCTTGCTACATTTCTTTCCACTGAACGAGAGTCACTATCGTATAGGTTTACTCAAGTTTGTTCAATTGTTCTCCGAGGTATATAAATCGTCGCTCCATGGGAAGATATAGTCTCTACGCCCCCGTGACCATGGATATTTCGTCCGCAGCTCAACAGCTACACATTTGTATTTTCAGATGGCGCGCAAACTCTATTGGATCACCTAAGACTGAAATTCGTTTGAAGAAGCAAACATAGTTTCACCTGTCTGCTATCACAGTGCGCTCCCGGGTAAGGCATTTTATTTGCAAATACCAACCACGTGGACAAACTCCACCAGAACCGTGCACAGTTATTCAAGTAAGATTTAGGTCTCTTTTACGGTGTACGGTAGAATGAATCAGATTATTTTATCGGAAGCATTCGCTTCTCAGAGCCATGACTTACACTGAAACCATTGTAATCTTCTAACTGTTTGCGGAAGAGGGATTGATCGTGCTTACCAATGCGAACTCCTTTAGCATCAAATGCCTTGTCATAATCAAAAACATTCTAGTTTGTTTGCGCTTCTCTGTGCTGAAGCCAGTTTCGTAAATGGATTTGACAGTAAATATCCTGAGAAAGGCTTTTAGGAACTGATGTCGAGTTCTAAGTTAACATTCTTAGTTCAAGGATAACAGTGGATCATAATTCGCTGACACATACGGCCCTCAGTTTACACTGAAATTCGAATTCCAATACAAAGTCTTCCAACAGTCAAAAGTGCATCTGACTTGATGCAATTGAAGATGGTGTATCTACAGGGAGAGAATAAAACCCGGTTCTGATTGTGCCAGATACGTGATGGTGGGACCACTAGATTCACGAACGTATTGAAGTTGACCAAGTACCACGATAAACGGCCGGCGACGAGACTTCAGATAACAGGTTGTCAAAATGACAGAAACAGCATTTCTCCGTCAGGATGCATGGAATGAAGTTTCCTGCTAAAATCCAAGATAACG